TTGGATTCTTACTGTTTTTTCTCTTGTACATAGTGTTTATATTATATTAAATTATTTCCTTACAGTTTTTTATTTTATTTTTTCTCTATCCACTTTTTTGCTGTAACATTGGAATTTCCCCATTGTGGGACAAATAAAGGAATATCTTATTACAAGAAACAGATAACGGACTTTCATTTCTGTTATTAGCTTTATATATGGCAATAAAATAAAACTAATTCACCTTCAACAGAGGTCATTCTGGGACCTAAAAATGAGCTAATGAGCCAGGACAGGTTGAGAAACCCTTGTCTTGTTGTAAACACATATGATCTGCAGAATAACAGGCATGAGTAACAGTTAGCAGCCAGTGGCTAATGTAGCACTCTTCTGAATGGCATCTACTCAGAACTGATATTGAGAGGTTGCAGTGAGTTTGCATTCTGAATAGTAAGCTAAGGCACCTTTTAAACTTTTTTCTTCTTTTTTTATGAGGGAACGACATAATAGAACACATATTCCCAGACCAATACAAAATGTGTTATTTACACAGGCAAAAACAGACACTGATGTCATTATGGTGCTAGTATGTAGTATAGTATTGTATTAGTATAGATATAGTAATAGGTAGTAATGCCCAATAATAATAATGTCCTGGTTCCAGCCATGTAAGGCACTTTGTAACTTTGTTTTGAAAAGAGCTATATAAATATGTTTAAAGTTTATTACTATTGTTATTACTAATATATGTTGTCTTTTATCCTTGCGTTCTCAATTATTACACTTGCATTGTAAACATACCTCGGGGCCAGCCAATAAATCAGATTTAACTAGGAGAAGGAAAACAAAACAGACACTTTTATTTTGAAGGCAGATTCACTCCGTTTCCGGTCTCGTTCTAGCCAACTTTGTGCGTTGAGCCGGTTCAACGGAGAGTGCCAAACTACTTCAGAGCTCCGATTGCTCTGCGTATTTGTGACTGACAGACATACTGAGGAAACCAATGATGAATGTTGATTATCGACAGGAGCGAACCCGTGCCGTGCCGTGCCAACGGTGTTTCCGTTATCTGCTTAAAATGCACACTCTGTCCCTGTTGACTCATTGAGTAATCCTGCTGGAGCAGTGCTCAGTGCCCCCCTCCCCTCTATGAGCCTCTGAATGTCTCAACCTTTACCAAAGTGCCTTCCTCCCTCTGCCTTTGTTCTCATTGTAAAGAGCTTCAATGGTCAGAAAGCACAGTGCACAGACACAGCAGTATGTGTATACAGGAAGTTACATACAAGCACTTCATAGCATATATGTTACAGTTTAAAGTTATTCATATTGCAAAGTACCATAATATATTAGTATTCATCTCTGTAGTGTTGCCTCATATTCCTGTATTATTGTCTATATGCTCAAGAGGCACTATCATTGTGTTTTAAATTCATATTAAAGGTGCAGCAGCTAGATAGATAATCTGTAAAAAAAATATACATATTATAATAATAATAATAATAATAATCAGGTTCCTCTGGTTGTTCTAGTGAGTCCACCGGGCCTGAACGAAAACAACTAATTAGAGGTGAGAAACATGAGTGATTGTTGAATCTCATTCCCAGGGTCAAATACAGATGCTTGGGACCCTGGGACCATAAGGGGCACTGGGAGAAACCAGAGGAACCAGATTATCTGTCTCATGTACTGCTGTCAGGATATAGTGAAAATAAATCCAATTATGGACCCATAATTGATCTTCCCTGACATACATTGTCCCTGTTACATTATAATATACAGTATTTTGGCTCTATGACTTATTCTGACGTCACTACTCTATTGCAACATTACATACTGAGGAAACAAAACATCGCTCCCTCTATCACGTCCTATAAATCAGTCAGCCCTGCCCATCCATCTCCCCATTCACCCTCCGGCAATGACAGCTGCGGCCAGATGTCAGGAAGTCTTTGAACCGGCAGTCCTGGCAGGATGGGGTGGAGGTGGAGCGGCCACTTTCCAAATCCCCCCGAGGAATAAGAAAACGGGCCACTCTCCAGCGCCAAGCAGGCTGGGAGAAAGCCACAACATGCCTTTTTATGAGTGATTGACAGGCACTGAGGGCTTAATGGATGAGGGGCCACGCCTGTATTATAACATAATGGACATATGTGGCTGGGTGTACATTACAGACCCTCACAAAGACTCACATTTGGCACTGAACACGCTTGACCTGAAAGATTAGACTCTGTAGAACACTTTTATGATATTGATTACATTCTAGTCCAACTGGGATCATTTCTATGGAAAGCATTGTCTTTTTTTCTAGTAACTTCCTAAAACACTCTTAGTGACCATTTGATTTCCTTAAGGACCATGAAAAGCTCTATAGGAGCCTATCTGGGCACCTTTGGGAGACCTCCATGGTGGCCCTGTACACTGATGAGTGCTGGCTCTGTGTTCTGCCAATACTAACACCACTGTAAGAAGCCTGGTATTGAGTTAGTCTGCAAGTGTAAACAAGACAAATACTTGCCACAGCCGCAACAAATATGCAGCAAGTCGCTCACTTGACTGTTCATGTTTTGCAGAGGGAAACATTTATATCCTCCGGCCATAAAAATTATGAACCTCTTCTCACTTTTTAATTCAATGCACATTTTCTTCCTGTTTGTGTCTGCGTCACTGGGCACCTGCCTTCTCCTGCTCCCTGTAGGTCAGGAGTGGTGGGTTAGGTTAATGAACGCTACTGGGTGATGGACATTTGCTAAAGGCTCGGACATGAGGTGGAAGATGAAGCCATCGGTGAGAGGCAATGAAACATTGAAAAAAACAAAGAGCAGTATGGAAATGATGGTGCTTTAATGTGGGGGAAACCAGACAGAACCAAAAAAAAAATGTAAAAAACAATTTAGAGTCAAAATTTGCACATGCATTTATCATAACCACTACTTGAACTAGAATGAAAAGGATATGGAAACCAGAAGCTGTATGACATCTTTCTCTTGTCTGTCTCATGGAATATAACTGCCCACCTTTGAACTCTGAGTCAGTGTGGATTGCACAGATGGACGCAGTAGCACTTATAGATCGTGCCTCAAAGTTTTACAACAAAATGACACCCTAGTGTCATTAATAACAACATGATCTTGTTTACAGCTGTAATTACAGCTTCAAGTCTTTCTTCGCAGGTCAACAGTCGCGTTAGCAGCAGGGAATTCAGAGTCATCTCTGGTACATCACCTTGAGCTTTGGGAAACACCGATCTGCCCTTTTCACCATTTTATGAACCAATCAATTAACCAATTTATTGATAAAATTAAGGACGATCAGTAAGGAGAATAATCGTTACTTGCAGCACTAAACAACTGCATTTGGTTGCTATTGTTTCAGTAGCAGTCCTAATTACAAACCTGCAGCTACAGCCTGAAAATAATATGAATCCCAGAAGAATTTAAATGTTGACTAAATGTGTATCTGACACAGTGACATGAAAGCTTTTATGACTTATTTTCCACAAGCTCTCTCTCCTGAAATTGATTAGGTGATCACCTGGATCACTCTGCTGGTCCTACTGAGCTTCTTTTCTCTTCTCATTGACTATCTTTGTCCGAGTACAGACAGCAGTTTGCAAAAGGCAAAGGTCCAGTGTGTCCATTTAGGGAGATCTGTTGGCACAAATGGAATATAATATTCATTATATTCATTGGTATGTTTTTATTAGTGTATATTCACCTGAATATAAGAATTGTTGTGCTTTTGGTACCTTAGAGTGAGCCATTTGTATCTACAGAGGGAGCGGTCCGCCATGCTGAGTTACCATCTTATCTCATCTCTACAGTAGCCCAGAACTGACAAACCAAACACTGGCTCTAGATAGGGCCTTTTGCTTTTTTAGTAAATTTTGTGGCCACTGCAGTTTCCCCTACACACTCCTACCCTGAGCTGTATTCAGTTGGTTGCAATCTGTAATGCCTACAGACTGGTCGTTTAACTGGTTATAAAACAGTCTCAGTTTAATAATGATGCCTCTATGAGCTTTTCCGTTAGTACTTTTGGCCATGCTGAGTCAAACCATGCCACGCTGAGTCGCATTTACATCCAATACCACTTCAAACATGCCACGCCCAACCCGCCTACAAGCATCTTACAGACTGAGGTCAACCCATGACAACTTACATGTCACTTGAGTATAAACAGTCTTGGTGTGTGAGCATAAATGGTGGTGTATGTTTTTGAATTTATTACCTGGAGTTTGGAAAGAGTGCAGAACCACGAGTCATTAGCCAGAAAGACTTGAAACCTGTGAATGAACACACACACACACACACACACATACACACACACTCAGTGGGGATCATGAAGCACTGTTCACAAACAATGGCTGTCTGTCAAAGGAAAGGAAAGTCTGGCTTCCTTCCCACCATTCAACAGCTGACAATACAGTTCACACACACACAAGTGTCTAGTACACATTATGGGCATTGAAAGTCAACCAAACATGATACTCACTGATAAGCAGGTCAGGCTTTTAACCCTCATGCTCAGCCGGTCACT